TAGCCCCCCCATTTTTTACGCGATTTCCAGCTAAACGGCTGGAGCAACAAAATTCGGATTAGAGCAACTAATTAGCAACAAAATAGCACTAAATTTTTGACTATGTCCGAACTTAATTTGCGAAGGTGGGGGGTCCAGCTTAATAGGGGTGAAGAAAGTTCCCATCTATCTCGTACAAGAAAGACATTTATAGATATTATTGCATTCCTACGAAAGTCATTATACGCGGAAAGAATCACAAAGCAAATATATTTGAATAGGCGAATAAAAGTCTGTTAAAAATTCCAATTCATCCATCGTGTATTGAATTTGTGTCGGTTATCGATTAAATTACGAAAATATAACAAACGATTTAACATATTTGGCTTGTTTGTATGAGATTTGGACACAATTATGAAGAATAAAACAAGATTGGTAAAAATAATGCAAATTCGAATCGATGCAATATATTCTTGCGACAAACAGCAGCTTTCTGAAATCAACACAAATTCGTGAGGAAACTATTTGTTTATCTGAAATTGATGATTTTCACGGTTTACATAGCAAGCACTGGTGGATATTCGCAATTCCTACGTTTAAATACACACAGAAAATAATCAAACTATGATGTTATGGATGTTTGTCGATCCAACAGTATCAATCACGCCAAAAAAAAATTTGTATAACGCGTTAATTTGCATTCGCTTACGTTCCGTAGTTTTATATTTACTTTCGCCCAGAGAAAACAATAAATTTCTGTTTACGATTATTTTATAGGCTACAAACTAGTTCTATAGACTACAGGACATCTTTTTTATTAAAAACGAAAGAACCCTTTCAATTAAATTGTGCGGTCTTTACATGGTTAAGTAAAAATTGGCGCAAAAATAGAAAACGCATTCAAGCGTATCTTCGACAATTTTCAGAGACATGACTATTTTCCAGAACATTTTCTGCATTAATTTTTAGTGATTCTAATACAAATATATTCACTAAACCGTTTTTGTAATTTGAAAGCACACGAACATTATTCTTTGACTGTTTTCTAAAATAACTTGAGAAATCAAATGTGTACATAATTATGCCGGAAACTATATTAAAAATGGAAACAGCTTAATGATATGCGCGACAAGTGACGACATAGGAGGAAAATGTGTAACTGTCGCGAAAGGTTAAATCGACGACGCGTAAAGATATTTATGACGTAATCGCAGGGAGTGTATATGGGCATGGGAAGGAGCGATTTTAGTGACCCAGTTTGCAAGTGGCAGTTACCGCCGCCGCCACTGCAGCATCCTTGGCTACGGATGTGAACTTTTTGCCCGTCGTCGTGTCGGAGCAGGCGCGCGAGGGTGAAGGTCAAGGGCGAAAAATACGTAAATCCCGGGACCGGACCGGAGCATTTCCCGAAAGGGAGGAAGGAAGGAAGGAACCAACGGGAAGCGGAACGAGAGCGGAGCGTGCCTATCTAGGTCGAGAAAACAGTGGTTGGGTCGAAGTGGTATCGAAGGACGATTACCGTCGGATGGCGCGCGTAAGTGGCAAGAAGCACGCCGCTCCTTCGGCAAATACGATAAAAGTACACCGGAAAATGACGAAATGATACCCCCTAGGGAATTTATTTCACGTCGCATGCTTCAATGCAAAAGACATTACGCGAAGGACGTGAAGTATAGTCTGCACAATCAATATAATGCTAAAGAGGCTGAATGTGTGTAAATATGAAGTTGTTGTGGATTCTTTTCTCTCTCTTGAGAGAGAAATTTTATACTTTCATAACAGAAATAATTTAAAGATATATCTTTTAAGAGATACTCGCTACATAAGTATATTTACAATGTTTCTCAAAAGTAATGTTGTCGTTTTAATAATTATTTTTAATGAAATTATTTTTATCATCCTTTTTCATCACAAAACTTTTCATTTAGTTTCTTAATTATTCCTCTACTCTTTAGTTATATGTACATATTTGACTATATATATATTTGATTATACTAAAGTTTCCAAAGATAAAGATAAGGCAAACGTACTAGTGGCTGAACATGTATCTATACCTGAACACGTACACAAAATGTATTAATCTTAAATACTTTTTTCATTATAATATCAAAATTGAATTGTAAAAATATTTAAAGATTACAATTAAATTATAATATTATAAAAAAAATCATTTAAAAATAAATTTTTGTGTACTTGTTCAGTTTTACACGTTCAGCCACTGGTACGTTTACCTTAAATGTTGAAATAATTTTCATTCATAACCGTTACTATAAAGTTACATGTATATATTTTTTTTTTAACTTCAAGACCTTCAAGTATTAAATTGTTGAGAAATACAGAGTTCAAAGAGAATCTGGCTCGAGATCGGTCCGAAGATTTGTGACAAAAAACACGAGCGTGGCGATGTATGCGTGCATGCACATCGCATAATAAAAGCCATCCAATTAGCGATACGGCGGAATTAATGTCGCTGTAGCGAAGATAAGGGCTTCGGCCGTTGCGCAATTTTCGCATGGCACACAGGCGTGTTTTTCTGGTTTCCCAGATTGGTCCGAGATTTTCACCTCGTGGTCGGGTCACTATCGGACGCAAAATATCGCGATCGACCCGCGGGCGAAAACGAGTTGCATGCAACGAACTGGCGTCCGTGGACATCGCTCGACAGCGCACAGAGGCGGCGGCGGTGAAGAAACCGCTCTCTACCGCGGATACATGTATGTACCTTTGGGAATACAGCGTTCTCGCTTCTCGCCGATAACACCCGCATGTGATATCGACTTCCGCTTCTGAATACGGCGCCGCGTGTACGAAGATGGCATGTCGCCCATTTGATAACATACCGATATTATACATTTATTCTCTGACACATTCACTCGCTTTTTATCGCCATTTTATCGCCATTTTATTATATACCTCTTCGCGTCGCTCTATTGATTCTCTGCTGTGCCATTAAATATGAATAAGACACACGTCTGTCTATTTTGTGACACTAAGGAATTTTTAGGCATAAAATTAAATTTTGTTTAGAAATTTTATTTTCTTTTAAATATCTTTACTTGAAATTATTTATAAATACTATTACAGTTAGTTTCATAATTTTAGAAAGAGTTGTAAATTTTTTATGCGGATTTTCAGAAAAAATGTATCAAGATATCAACGCATAACCAAACCAAAATACAAAGGGGAACAAAAGGCAGTTGGCAGCGCGCCCAAAAAGTGAATCCCGATATCGAGCATATATGTCACGTGCACGAGAGTTCCGCTTTTTTTCACGGGTTATCACTGATTTTTTTCTTTGATAGTCGGTCGCCGAAGCACAATGAACTGTCCAAACTGTCCCAGCTCTCCTGTTTTTTACGACCGGTCGAAATGAGAAATTTATGCGTTTTACACCAAAACAGACAAGTCTCTGGTGACACTTTTAAAAAAAGCGAGATTCTCGTTTATCCGTGAAAATACAGCTGCCGCGTACGATACGCTCGCATCGCAAGCTTCGTGAAATATGTAAACATCATGAAATAATAAATTCATTTCTCTCTTAAAAAAAAATGACATGTAAAGTCGAGCGTAATATTGCTTGTTTTTCGCGATATTCTTGTTATACATTATTATGCTTATTTCATGCCGTCAGAGACTGCATGTCATCGCAGAGACAGCGACGTAATTTGACAGCTTGAATGTTGAGCAGTTAATAACGCAAATAATATTATGTAATTTGTGTAAAAATATTGTGTAAAAATATATTAAGATATATTTTATTTATCTTTTCAAATAAAGAACATCATAACACATTCATCGAATAATACTTAAAAATTTAATATTTTTTAATATTTATTACATGTAATTATGCATAAAAATTATGTAATTGCTTTTTGGATAATGTAACATTATTAAAGCTCTAAAAAAATAAAATATTATTAAAATTATAATAATTTCAGAAAGCGAGATAAAAATAGGTGATAAAAAATGCTCCTCAAAGGATGTTAAAAATAGGGAATTCTAAGAAAGCATATTAAACATAAAAATTAAGTTTCAGAATGCGAATTGAAAATAAGGAGTTTCAAGAAATGGGTTGAAAATAGAAATAATAATCTACAATATAAAAAAAAACTCATTTCACAAAATCAAAAATCAAATCAAAAGTATTTATTTTAAATATACGAGCATAATGCGCGACAAAAAGTTTTGCTTATATCATTCAAAAACATAATGTGTAATATATAATTATTTTTAAAAATATTAATTAAAATCTATCGTAAACCGTGACAATAAATGGCGCATATATTCTAGTTTCATAATTCTTTCGGCTTGTCATTTGCATAACGTGAGAGAATATAACGGGATTTGAAGGCAAGTTACGGCTCCTGCTGTCGCTATGACAGATTTTGATAGGCATGACATTATTATATTCCTAACGTACTTTAAGCTGATTTATAGCCGAATTTGTACCATTAAAAAATGCGATCTATCGTGCGACCTATCACTTTGTGAAATTTACACGGCGTCACAGAATGCGCTGGATTAAACGTACGCGATGTATGCAGCTTCAAATCGTGCGACATCTCATCGCGATATTGTAAACACTGAAGGAAATGACCATGGAACGTCGTGATCTTATACTAACGAGCTGTGAATCTGTGTGACGTAACACATATCTCGCAAGGCCATTCTGTAGCTGTATAATTGACTCTTGACTTCGTGTTAATTGCACGCATTTTTCTCCGCTAGCCGCTGCATACTCGCGGTGAATATGAAATTATTTGCAGAGAACGACTCGACAAATCATCATTAAACATCACGATCGATAAATGGAATGCGGCATGTCCGGTGACGGAGGGATAAATTATTTCCTGCGGGTAATTAACCCTTAACCCGCATTGTCAATCTACGATATTGCTCCCATCTTTCTTCTTTTATCTCTACTGTTAGACGTTATTTATAAACACTCTTTGTCTTGTATATTAAGATATTATCTTCGATAGCATATCATAAATATTTAATAAATTTTATTATAAATGTCTTTTTTTGTTCACGAAAGCGTAGGTATCTTCAAAGAAGATAGCATGAATGTCGCGAATTAACTGTTGTTAAGACAAAACATGACAAACCTTTTCTATAAACATAATGTTATTTTCACAACTACTCTGTAATAAAAAAAAAGTTTTAAAAGTATTTTGATAAACAATTTATCCAAGAACCAAATTTAACATAAAATATTAAAAAATTTTATATTATTTTACAATTTAAGCTAATTTAACTGGGGTTTAATAAATATTACCTTAGTAATCGTGCCACATATTTTTATATAGCAGAGGCAGGTTAAATCTTTAATTAATTCGTTGTTCAGTTTATGTAATATAGCATAGGAAGATAATTAGTTTCTTTTATCATTTTTTTTATCGCTCATACAAAGAAAACTAACACTTACATAAAAATATAAGATAAAACGTAAGTGTTACAATGCAAGTGTTGTACAAAATAAAAAAGTAAAGAATAAAAACACATACAGAGAGTGTACAAAAAATAGGTTTTTCAGTAAGGTGTTCCTGTGTTTTAAAGTCATAAATAAGTAAATCGCCTGCGGTTTCGAACCGCAGGTACGTCGCCAGGCTCGCTCATTCGAAATCGGAATATGTAAATCACATTATTGTCGATGAAGTTTATTTTTAGCACTGGTGCATGTCGCGTGTGCAGGGAGACCGGGCGGGCAGGTAGGCAGGTACGCGCCGCTGCATCTCCCGATTCCGCCGCCGATTGTATCGCGGGACGGAAAGTGCGCGCGCTCGCGTGCATTCACAATGCAACACGCACGGCCGGGCCGGCGCAGATACCGGTTGCTGGAAAATATACTGCGATCGGACGAGCGGAACGGGCGCGGAAGGCACGAAAGAGGCGAATGCTGCAGTCGGAGAATCGTGAAAACTGTCGATGCGGAACGACACTGCCAAGGCAAATAATTGCCTCGCGATCGACAGAGGGAAGCTGCGCGCGACGGATCTCTCTTCTCTCGAATTATTTTAGAATTTGTAACAAAATTCCAAATTACATGTTGCGAACGACGAATATGGGATTAATAATCTTCGGTCGTGAAGTAAAAATTCGGCACATCGGGCGTGCGTTTGCATATGGACGCATTCCTCTTATATATAAATATGTTAATTGGGTGATTAATTTACTTCGGTAACCGAATAAGGCTCGCGCGAGCCGATCGCATCACCGCATGCACTCACTTTGCATTCACAACGCGCAGCGAGGAATCGACGATCGATTGTCGAACGCGGCGATTGATCGCGCATTATACCAACGTACCTTATAACACTGCAATACACGTGTCGCTTCGTCATCACGTTAACACTGATAATGCGATCGATATCGCTTTTTGCAGGATCTCCTTCCGATCCTGCGCGCCAAGTTACGAGCACGTGACACGGTAATCATCTTCTCATACACGTTGTCACGCGCATGTATCGCGACGACGGCGCGCGGCGTGGTGGTTATCTCTCGCTCGCTAGTCACCGCAACACGCTACACTCACACAGGATACACATCCTTATCGCGACTCCTCGCGAGCGTGGTTTACGATCGTTATCGCAATAATTCACTTCGCGCCAGCTGCACGGAGAGGTAGCTAATCGGGTCACCCCTCGCCGCAATGTCGTTTGTCTTTTAATGCGCACTCGCACGTTGCACGACAGACTTTACCGACGACGCGGACGCCGCACGGAAGATGCGGCGATAACGCGCGCGTTAGACGCACGGCGCGTAAGAACGTATCGTGAAAAGTGTCGAGGTGGTCTCGAGGCCGGAGGAGACGACCCTTCCTTTCCACCGCGTCGACCACGCCGCCGTTTTCTGACTCACGATTCTGACACGATAGCGTGACCGAAGAGGAGAGAGGAGAGGAGAGGAGAACTGAGGAGAGGTGAAGAGGACGAGCCGCTCGATTACGAATGCAACGCACACGGCAGATACGTACGACGTTCGTCTTCATCGATGACTCCCTTTCCCGAGATCCCGCGACCGGTTATTGCATTTCCGGCCGAATACGCTTCGGTAACGCCGGGATTTTACAGCGGGAATTTAGTTTGATAAGCGAGAGAAAGAGGACGGTTATCGTCAAAAATTTTGATGACGTGTCGAGGCAGGAATGATTAGTATGATAGGTATGATGGCGTATCTCTTCCATCAGAGAATCCAAATTTCTTACTTTCTGTGATCGGTATTAAAAAGATATTGAAAGCTATTAAGGAGTCAAGGAATTACAAGTAAAAAATGTCTTTAAAAACGACAAGTATGGAATTAGATGAATTATTATTTTAATTATGATTTATATATTTATATAATTGTTATCACATTAGAGAAACAAGAGCAGCCAAATTGCTAAAGATAATAATGTACGATTATAACAATACAATATAATATAAATGAAAATAAATAACTAAGTATCAGGATCGACCGTGGATCGGAGCGTTACAAACAATTGAGATGTGAAAACGCCAACACAAAGCAGATCTTGGTGCTTGATAATATTAATATGTGAATCTCATAATTTTCAGTTCAGAATGCGCGCCGCATAATCGTCGGTCTTTAAAACGCAGCTCCAAACCGAATAGTACGTAATATCACAATTAAATTGCCAAGGCAATTTAATAATTCAATGCTGATAGAGCATCTTTTTAAATTATAAATTATAAATATTATATCCCTATTACGAGTAACAAGATTAATAATAACAATCAATCTAAGATAGATGACCACTTAAGCGCGGCTTAGATCGAGAAGGGCTCGAGATCAGTACCGTCCGAGCCTCGATTTCTCGCACGGATTTTATTGTATTTTTACTTTCGCGATATCGGAAGAAAATTGCGAGAGGGGTAACGATGGTCTCTCGCAATTAGAAGAGGATCGATCCGACGACCGCACGGGATTGAGGACTTTCTACTCCGTTATAGCGTAACGGTACCGTGATACTCTGCCGTACTGTCGACCACTGTACCGGCCTTATATACGTATGCATGCATACGTATATCGATAGCGACAGGATGTCGGGAACCGCAAATGACGAGGCGACGACGAGGACGACGGCAGTGAGACGCGATTTCTAACGCGAGGCGCAAACGGTAAAGCACGTATAATATGGCATTCCGACACGTCTCCTGAGAAACGCCTAACGAAGGCACGTACCTGGTTGATTTCCCTCTACGGCTGCAGTATTGTTACTGATGTATATATACAGAATGCCTTAGACACTATTGCCGAAAAGGAGATAACATGGACAAATAAAATTGAAATTCAAATTTTCGCCAGGAAGCGTCATACTTTTGAGAGAAATGATCCCATAAATAAAAATATTAAATATTCAAGCTTTCGTAGATTTGAATAACATTGTGATATCATGTTGAATTAGATACTGCGGCTGCTATATATATAAATAAAAAAATGCATTGCCTCGATTTATTAGAACGTTACAATAAAATAATTAAATTACTGGAAGGAAGACTTTATGGGTATGAAATATCAAGATCATTTTTATTTCTTCGATATTGTGTCCA